GGTCAAGACCAATAACAAGAGAGAAGATGAGCTTACTCTCATACATAACTATTTACCGTGAATACTTACTAAATGTAATAGAGAAATAAATTTAATATATTTTTTTTAGTTATCTTAAATAATTAGTTACATTTTACACTTGTTTAATTATATCGTCTTTTTTAATATAACTGAAATTAATTCTTAACAAACTTGATTATTCGTGTATCTACATTTCCTTATTTTAATTATTATATTTACATTACAAATGTCTATAAAATTATGGACTTAATTTTCTTTTGTTTTTATTTTTTAAATATGTTATTATTGAAAGTGGTATAAGTCCACTAGGAGCTAAAAGAAACGTTTATTTTCTTTAACAATTTAGTTATATAAAATAATTAAAGATAAATAGTAAACAATTCATATTTCGTAATTTGATAACTATTAAAACATCCTTTCTCTATTTACTCGTTCATGTTCTAATTGCCGCGTAAGTCTATACCCACTATGATGCATTGCGCAACTAATCTTCTTGCCATCTCGTATATCTCGGTATAAATTTACACAAAATAAAATATATACAACAGCAGCTATAATATTCTAATTAAAAATTAATTAAGAATGGCCAGATGCCGTTTCGTATTATAAAATCGTGATTTCACGCTGGTGTCGTTCTTTTATTATTCCTTCTGACAACTGTTAAACACTTGAAATTATAATTTACAGCTGAAATGAAATAGTCGAATGCGAGCCGTATTATATAACGCTCTTTCCGAGTCGGTATTAATTTCGCTCCGGGCACTGTGGAAATGTAAATGAGAGACGTCGTAAAAGTTCAGTTCTGAAAGAAAAGTTATCTTTCTGGATCGACCGCAAATGCGTTCTAAAACCGAAACGAGACTAGTTTTCGAACATAATTGCATCAAGTTTACTTCAAAATTTTGTTCAGATAAAAAAAGTAATAAATCCATTATATTTTATTATTATTATAAAATTATACTTTTTTTGGTTTTATTACATAAAGGAATCTTGAATTATTTATTTTTCTATATAGAATATTAAAACAGTAAAATTACAAAATAAAAAAAACTCAATACAATAATATAAATATCATAAATATATTACAGACTTCTGATAATTCTTCTTCTGATTTCATAATAAATTTCATGGTTGGTGGACTTTGCCTGGAGCACTTTGGTAATCTATGCTCTAAACCGAATTTTATAAATATAAGTTCGAGAATGACTGCATCTAGATGTCTGCCCACGTCTAAAAAATAGTAGTTTTTAAAATGTATTCTTATGATCAATGAATGAATTGTATAGACTATGTTCATATTTAATTTCACTATAATTGCATAACTTGTTATAATCATAATTATTATTTTAGTTGTTTTTATGCGTGTATTTTTAGCTCTGTATATTCTTATATAATTTACTGTTAGTTTTTGCTTTCATTTTAATTGACGTTATTTGTAAAAATTCTATATATGCAGATATAAGAAGTTTATACAAGATTTCTTGATTAAAAAATTTCTATAGTGTTTTCCTTTCAAACAACATTTCTTTGGATATAGTTTCGATTATTTTTTAAATACACAATATATGTTCAGTATTTATCGTAAATAATAACAAAAACATTTAATATTATTCAATTTTATATTTATTTACGTAATAATTTAATCTGCGTTATTTAATATGTGATATATTATTTACTTTGATATTTTGTTTCACGGTTGAACAAACATTTTTTTATAATCATGTTTTTATTATACTGTATCATGTATGTATGTATCATCATATTCAAGAGGATGTACAGCCATACCTTCCATAGTGCGGATTCAATATAGTTTCATAACAATCTAAATTTTAATTGAGCAAAATTAAAAATAATTTCTAAATTAGTACACAAGATTATTTTTTAGACGACTATTGCTGTTTCAAACAGTGCTGGAACCAATTGATGCAACCAATTGTTGTGAAGGATGAACATGAAACCAAGTATAAAATATCTATCTTTGAATTGCATAGCGAAATTGCACAAAGTTTACATAATCTTAATTAGAAAAGTTAAATTAATAATATATGAGAATAGATATACTTTATATAAAATTATAATTAAAGATTTTATCAAGAAACTAATTATCTATATAACATAAAATGAGGATATAAAAGAAAAGTAAATATTAAGGATAATTATTATAATACTATTCACATATGTTAGAAAAACTATAAAGTATTAAAAAATGTTATTTTTCACTGGCAGAAATTCAAGTATATCAACACCTTATAGTACCGCACGAATCGAGGACTTTTAACACCGCAGAAAGACTGTACATAGAAAAAATCTATAATATATGTGAAATAATTTTTATTTGGATCAAATAATATTTAGTTTGTTATGAATTTGTTAACGGTAATATAATGAATCCGCACTGATTAAAGTCGTATTATGCGAGGTTTTACCCCAAATATAGGGTGCGATATATCCATTCAAGTAGTTCCACACCAAACATTGTTTAACTTTCGCAAACTGGACAATATGCTAAATACATGGTCAAAGTTCAAAATTTTGTTTATTTTGAAATAATTTACTATATAATTTTCTAAAATGGTATAATTTTATTGTCAATTCATATTTTGTTAATGATCTTTAATAATATTTTTATAGCAATTCAATAGTTTAATGTATGCACATATAGAATGTATTATTGTTAACAAACCGCTTTTGCATATTTTTAAAGATTCGTTTCAGAGTTGTACAAATGTATTTTTTATAAAATTTTGATCCTAGTCTTTCCGCCTATCTTTCAAAATAAATGAACGTGTTATTAATTATAGTCCTCCAATTACTTGATTATTTATTCCTATTTTGTATTAAATATGTAATCAAATATGTATTGTTCAATTAATATTATATATATATATTATATCTTATAAGTACATGCAACTATGAAATATGTAATGAGACAAGAAGGAAACATTTTAAAAGTGTAATCTTATTATAATATACGTATGGAGGTATATGTTTTTGAGGGAAATCTGCTTTGATGTGCATAGCGAAATTGGCGTTCCGAACTTTTCAGTCTGTTTTGTATGCCTTGCAATAACTAATGGAACATCAAGGAGATAGCAACGTAATCCAATGCGATAGTATGCATATGCATGAATGACATCAAAGTAGCATTTTTTGAATTCAGTTTTTATTTTTATAATTAGTGCACTTACCAATGGCTGTGAAGATGCCCCAAAATCTGGTAAACATTTGGAGGATGTCGAAGGTTCTCTGCCGAAGCGTCTTCTTGGCACAATCATTGTTCCTAGGCGCCACCTCGCCGTTCACTGTAACGATGGGTGGTGAAGAGGCGACAGCAACCGAATACATTTTGGTACCTTGCACACTCTTATTCGCAAATACGCGGCATACCTGCACCACCTAGATCCACCTTGATACCAGCGTCGCGACGCCCGACACAGCCGACTGGCGAATGTTTCGCGCGGCAGGCATCCCGTCGCGACGACGGTCGGACCACGGGAAGGGGGCGCGCGCGACGCATCCTAGGCTTGTGGACCGCGCGTTGTGCGTCGCGACGCTCCATTACCACCCCTCCTCCGGCGCCTCCACCGTTTCGCTCCACCATCGTCGTCTTCTCAGTTTCTGAGTAATTAATTAATGGTTGCTGAGAGTCTTCGTCCAACCGCTAACGTCGTTTTACGAAATTTCTAAGCCAAACTTGACTATCCTAGTTTCGAATCCGATGGCTAAAACCCCGATCCGCGAAAATAAATTTAATGGGGAATTAATTCGATTAATAGTAGATTGGGTTAATTAAAGCGTTTTCGAAGCGCGATAAGGTGAAAGTTTACAACGCGGTGCAACTGGGGGGGATGTTTAATTAGGTGGTTCCCGACTACCAACCGAAAATTTTGCGCAAACAAAAGTTAATTGCGCCAGAGTTCCAACTATCGGGCTCTCATAATTTCCATGAGTTTCAATTTGTCTCGAAACTATCTCGAGCACACCGCATTAATTTCTTCTTTCATCTTTGATGGTCCTCTCATCTCGTATACGAGAATATTTGAAGGTGGAGCACAGAATATGCAAATTTCAACTGGCTGTGACATTTTGTAATATAATGCATAAAGCATACATACAAAAGCATAACTTACAAAACTACCAATATATACATTTTCTATAAAATTACATAAAGATATATCGTTAACATATAGGTCGCGACCCAAAATTAGGTAGTGTTACATTTTTAATGGTTTACGAAATGACAGTAGTCACTGTCTCAAATCGAGGAACTGGTGAAAGATTCTTAGATTGGGTCGCAGTACAACTACAAAAAGGTTGAGACAAAACACATAGCCGTTTTTCTTAACTATTTTTGGTTCTATAGGGTATACCGTATATTCTAACCTCTCCTCTTCCTTCATTTTATATGTTAATTGAACTACTATCAACATCGAAAATTTGACTTAAGAAACCTAACCAAAGACAATGTAAGCCAATTTAATCTAGCACCAACTTACTAACTTAACGTAATATAACCTAATATGATATAAACACATATAAACTTACTTAAGCCAATGTAACATAACCTAACAAAACTAGAACTTTAAACCTGGACACCGATCAAAATTTCTCCCTGACATATCTGGACGCATAAAAAAGGAACATATCAAAGAAAATCCGGACACATGACACGTAATAATCCAACTATCACTTGTCCTTCATATATATATATCCAACAAAACTGGTTCTAATACATTATACTACATAACCTAATCTTTATTTAACCTTAATTATACTTTTTTTTGTAGAGGAGAGGAAACCTTGCATAGGGACAACGGGTGGAGTCGTGGTACTGTGGGATTCTCACAGCACTAAAACATCTCCCCTTCTTCGCCAGCATGCAGGACCTGTATCACTATACTACTCTGAGATGCTGATTGTCTTTGCCTCTCTGGTACTTCCCATACATCATGTTAATGCTGGCCTCCACTGCTACTATCCTAGTAGGCCCTCAGCAGCCTCCGCTCGTCTTCTTTGCTTAGTAGCACCTCTGATATGTACGCCACTACAATATCCCAGCTCTCCGCACTCTTCAACATTACACTGATAACATTTTCTGGCTCTAGCATGTGCTCAGGGCTATCGTCCTCGTCACAGTACCAGCACCTTTTATCCTCGTTCTTGGCGATGAAGTGCAGGTACTTGCTAAAGTATCCATGGTCAGAAAGCGTCTGGCTCAGGTGAAATGTTGTTTCATCGTGCTTTCTGCTTAACCAAGGCTCTATTTGCGGGATTAGGCGCCGAGTCCAGGCTCCTTTCTCCGACCTGTGCCATTTATCTTGCGATTTTTGCAGCAGAACCGTAATTATACTAGACACCTTAAACTTCAATTTCCCTTCATTTATCAATTTAACCTAATAATACAGGTACTAACCAAACATTACACTAGATAATCTAACCTTTATTTTAAAATCATTTAAAGATCTAACCTAATAAAACTGATTCCAATATAAACAAGAAATATATCAAACTGTAACTGTAGAATAATATTGTATATTTTAATAGATATAACAAAAAAAAAATATTTAATAAAATTTATTCATGTATAAAACTATGTAAATATTTATTCACAGACTTAATGATATATAAATATATTGTGAGGCAGATGGAAACTTTGTAAATGTAAATATTGGTAATTTACCTGGAATCTCAGCAAGAGATATATATGAAAGTTTCGGAGGAAGGAAAAAATATATATAAATCACCAAACTCCCAACGAGCAAACTCGTATTATCGAACCCAATAGGCCGATCTAAACAAGTAGTTAGGGAAGTTCGAAGACTCAACATTGAGCTCAATGTAACTTTTAAAATACTTTCTACGAGTAAATGATTTATTTCCACTTGAGAAAATAGTTCAGCTTATTAATTTCAATATCGAGTTTCTTACGTTTGACTGAAAAGCAAAAGCAAAAAAAAATACTTTTTTATATTTTTCAATATAGAAACGAAGAAATTATTTTGTTCTTAGAAGTAAATTATTTATTTTTATTTGAGAAAATTGTTAAGTTAATTAATTTAAATATCGAATTTATTATATTGGAAGAAAGTAAAACAAAAATCATTATTTTATTAAGTATTTTGTTCTTCTAATTTTCAATTAACTATGAGCAATAATTACATTTATTAGTACATTTTTTATTTGTAGTTTAATTATGTTAATTAAATGTTAACATATTTATTAGTCATCTAATATGGCCAAAGAGCTATCGATCGATGTCTTTCCACCCAAGTTAATCAAATTTGTAGGTAATTGGAATACACTATTTGATCAGAATAATATGCTGTAATGTATCCACCCTGATTGCATCGATTGGTTATGCAACGTGATACTTAGCCTTCTGCAAACTTGAAGCGAAAACTGTAATACGTCATGTGTCAAAAGTTGCTGTTGGCAAATAAGTTGGCCTAATTTGAATTTGGCGCCAAACGTATTTTATGCATGCAAACAATATGGGTGGGATTTGCACTTTGTAGACGAATGCACAGCTCGAGCATTCCACTTCACTCGACTCTCCAATATTCATACATTGTTCGCTTCTATCTAAATATGAGCGTGCTTTCAATTACAACAATGTAGATTTAGCTATACAACAAAATTGCATACAATTTCATGCGTCAGTTATCAATATTCCGGCTATATCGGTATTACACTGTTTGTTTGATGTTATATTAGAGCATATCATCAATTGTATCGATAATCTTGTTGATCCAACAATAATTATTACTTATTTTCTTAGTAAAATGTATCTAGTAATATAATTTAAATTACAACAAAAATATGTTACAAAAGGCTATACCGAATATACGATACAATTTTCAGTCTTTTTATATTTAAGTATTGCTTAAATAAAATTACATTAAAAGATACAGTAAAATCTCAATTCAACTATCAAAAACATCTACATTTATGAACTCAATTTCGGTTCTCGAACAGTATTTTGATGAAAACATAATATCACGTCACGATTTATTGCTGCAAATCAATTATAATCGTCCAATTTTATTGTGTTAGAAATAAATAGTTTTCAGGACAAAATAAATTTAATATTTGTTATAAAAAAAATAAAATATATAGAAATACATTAGGTTTCTTTAAGTTTTAGAATGGCCTTTTTTAGAAGAAATAACCTTTCTTCGAATACAGTGATCGATTTGATGATTACATCGATGAGCGAACAGAATGTGGAAACTGCATGAATGTCCTTCGCTTTCAACGAACGGCTGTAAGTCAATACTTTCGATTCGAATTTTGATATAAAAATCCATGTATCAAGTTCAGTTTTCTCGCAAAAATTGAGAATGTCTTTATTCAGTTGCAAGTTCATCTAGTAAATGGATTCGTGACTTCCTGTAAATGGGTTGAAATTGCTAACCTTTATCCACTTCTCCCACAGGTATCTTCTGATAATTCCATCCATTGAGGATTATTATCCATTTTATAATAATCCTCAATTATTTCCTCACATTGAGATAAAATCTCTTTAATTTTTCATTAAATGACTTTAATGGAAATGTAGTTTTCGAAGTTGTCCATCTCAATTTGGATGATAACTGATAATGTTATGTGTCTATTTAAGTAACTTTACAAAAGTTCTTATCACTGAGAACTGATGTATCAATGATTTTGTGAGTGATATATATACAAAAATGAAGGGTATTAATATTGAGTGGGGGAAGAAATTTATATTTTTTAGGGTGGCAAACAAGTAATAAAATTCTCGAAATTCGTCTTCTTTATTACCTAAAATTCACTTTTATTTGATTTAATGAAAAAATATTTTTTATTGGCATTGTAATTTATATTGTATATTCAATAAATTCATCAAGTTTATAAAATTAATATAAAATATTTTTAGAACAAAATTAGTTTTTCAAAATTTTTAAAATGTTAGTAATGATTTCATGATATATCACACTGTAAATTATGCTAAAAAAATAAATTACTAAATAATATACTTTAAAACAAACAAGTAATTATATGAAATTATATCATTATTTAGAAATAGTTGTATAACTCAAATTTAAAAATATATACGCAAATTAGTTTTTTCAAAATTTTCCTATTAACTATTTCAGTCAGATGCATTTTACAATTTATTTAAATTTGTCTCCGAACAAACAAATTTTAAAATTATTCATTTATTAAAATATTAATAAATTGAAACCAATTTTGTTAATTAATTAAGAATTTATTATTTTCATCATTTTATTAAATATTCGATATAAATTGTATCGTCAATAAAGAATATACATTATTTTTTCATGAAATGAAAGGTAAGAAATAAATAAGGAATATTCCAAGAATTTCTTAGTTGTTTTATTGCCACCCTAAAAAACTTTTCTGTCCCCACTTTTCTTAACATTAATACCCTTTCTTATATACAAATGATGCACAAAATTATCAATCCATCAGTTCCAAGTGACAAGTGCTTTAGTAAAGTTACCTAAGCAAACACTTAACATTAGCATCCAATTTTATATGGACAATTTCGAAAACGAAATTAAAGAGATTTTATCTCAATGCAATGAGATAATCGATTATAATTATAAAAATAACATTTTACAATCCAGTCTACGCGAATTCAATGAATTGTACAACAAATTTCATGGAATTCTTAGGCAGAGATACCTGTGGGAGGAGTGGATAAAGATTGATAATTTGAACCCGTTTACAGGAGATCACGAATCCACTTACCAGATCAACTTGCAATTGAGTAAAAACATTCTCAATTTTTGCGAGAAAACTGAACGTGATTCATGGACGTTTATATCAAAATTCGAATCGACAGAACTGATTTATAGACGTTCATTGAAAGCGGAGGACATAAATGCTGTTTCCAAATTCTGTTCCCTCATCGATGTAATCATCAAATCGATCACTGTATTCCTTTTAAAGAAAACCATTTTAAAATTTAAAGAAACCTAATGTATTTCCATATATTTTAAATAAATATTTTATTTGAGAAGCATTAATTTTATTTTATTTTGTAATTTCTTTAGATCTAATTACAAGTAATAAAAATGGACGAATATAATTGATTTGCAGCAAAAAAATATATTTTAACATATTTTTTAGCTCATTTAAAATCGGAAAAAATATTCCAGTTACTTTTTGTATTTATAATGTCTTTTGAACTTACTAATTTTTATTTAATTTATTAGAATTTTAATAAATACAAATTAAGGTTTGTTCTAAAAATATTTTTAATTAATTTTATGTTCTCGATTAATCTTATTGCATATTCAATATAAATTATAATGTCAATAAAGAATATACATTATTTTTCATTATATCAAATATTCCGAGAATTTCATTAGTTATTTGCCACCCTAAAAATTAAACTTTCCTTCCTCAACTTTTCTTAACATTAATACGATCAATTCTTAAGTTCCAAGTGACAGGTGCTTTACTAAAGTTACTTAAATAAACACTTAACATTACCAGTTATCATTCAAATTAAGATGGAAAACTTCTAAAACGACATTTCCATTAGAGTCAGTAACCGAACGTTCTCAACGATTCGTTAAAAGCTGAGGACATTCATGCAGTTTCAAAATTTTGTGGATTTCAATTAATTTCCGTTTAATTTTAGATCTTTAATGTTATTTTCTTTCATACTTTTATCGAAATTATTTATATAATTGTTCAATGATTGTAGTAAATATTTTTATTATTATTTATAACATACTTGAAAATGAATCATTTGTCTAGTAACATGTTTGTATACATTATAATGGCAAAAAATTTCAATTATTGAAGTTTTTACTCGTTTGATAGCAAACAGAAACCGGCGGAGCGCAGATATTGGATTTGAAATCACATGACTGGCAATTGAAGCACAAAAGACGATGCAAAGAAGGCAAATGGACTGTCATGCATTTATGCAAAGGACACAATATTGCATTGGTTCCGCTATGTGCACTCTTTGTAAATTTTGACCTAAAAAGATGTTCACTTGCTTCCATAACATACAAATCGATTATTTTTCCTTCTTCTTCGTCTGCTAATATTAAACCTTTCGCCTCGAACATTGTATGTCGTGCCATTTTAATATCGTGCATATGCTGTTTCCAGTAAGGAAAATCCGCAACAAACTGTTACAGGATAATTGAAATCCTTGCTGCGAACATGCCTGCCTGTATGTATAAGGTTACGCCCGAAACTAGTACGCACTGCAGTTGTTCAATTTCCTTCGTCTTAAACGGCTTTGTAAGACTGAAGATGCGAGGATGGGGAGGATTCCAAGTTTAATTTAGGGTGCCACGTAATTTGCATGCGATTAAATACAATTTGCATATGCAATAAGTTTTCAATTGTATTTGTTTTATAATATAAAGTAAATATATTTGAGTATTTCACAACAATATTATTTGAAGTAATTGTATTGAAATATTTCCCAAAATGTATGGGGGCGACTAATAGCCGAATGGTTAATGCGCCCTACCTACAATTAAAAATATATATGGAAATAGGAACAAACAGTTTTCATAAATTTTCTATAATCAAGTAATGTATACAAATAGTATGGTTTACCGTTTCCGCTATTAACGATGTTTGAATTCAACTCGAAGCTTAAAAAGCTCTAAAGTAATTGATTTACAATAAAGTGACTTCGTTTAATACTTTTCCGTTTTGTAATGCTTCTAGAAACGCATTCAACATGTTGAAAATAATCTAAAATACAACTCAAATATATTCTTTAATATAATTGAATATCAATGTATTCTCAAAATGTATACAAAAATAAATAAATATTTGTATGTATCTTTATTTTTCAAATAACAATATTTTCAAAGTGTAATACATTATTCAATAAATATGTATCTGCGCTTCGTCAAATTCTGTTTGCCATTATAAAGTATACAAAGATGTTACTAGACGAATGATTTCCTTTCAGGAATGTTACAAATAATAATAACATTATTTACTACAATAATTGAATAATTACATAAAAAATTACCAATAAATATATGAAACAAAATATTTTTTTTAAGATCTAAATTTCGTAACCAAAAAAATGTAATCTGTTTATTTGTAATTATATATTTGTTTTATAAGAAACTAATGTTTAATATTGAATAATACATAAGGAAAAAAAAATTACATTCTTTTCATATAAATAAATAAATTCTAACATAAAATAATAAAAATATATATATCAATAGGCTGGCCAAAGGGCTAACACCCGGGGTCTTTACGCCCTTTTCAAACAAAATTTCTTAAAATTTTTAATTAAAAAAAATATGAACTATTTTTTTATTATTATTAATTCAATAGAATTTAGTTCTGTTTCAATTAATAGAATTATAAAATATATATTTGATATATAAATTTGAATTACAAACACAAATATATTATTTTATCCTTATTACTTATTTATTAAAAACTTCTCAAAATATATACAAAAAAAATGTATGTTTGTTTTGCAAATAACTATATTGTAAAAAAATAACAAAGATTATTATATAATTATGTTTCATTCTGTAACAAAGATCATTTGGCTAAAAAAATTGGTAACTACAGTTAAAAGATTTATAAGATAATGTTGACTGAACTCAAAATTTTTTTTAATACAATATTTAGATTAATCGAATTACAACTGCTTTGGAATACATATTCGTCTAATCTAGTTTCTATTTTTTTAATTTTGTAATTTGGAAGAGATAATTTTAGTACACATTTTATTAAAATGATTTTCTTTAACATTTAATTAAAAAAAAATATGAACAATTAGTAATTCCTAGGATTAATTAATGCATCCTTTTATGGATTATACAATATTTCAATATAGTTTCAGTTAATCACCTGCTTAAAGTTTATTGATGATACTTGATGTATAGAGGAGAGATTGGCTTCCTATAATTATCTAACAACAAAGGTTTAGCAACGTTGGATTTCTCCAATTTAATCACTTCAGTCGACATGATTAGTGCGCGCAAGATGTAGGTACACAGTTACATAAGCTACCCCTAATATTTCAAGTATCTGTACTTATATTGTCTACCACGATAGTTATTAAATAGCTAATTACATGATTAGCTTTGTATTTCACATCAATATTTTACATTATAATACATTTCTAATTTGCACAAGATAATTTTATTTGATAAACAATATTATTTATAATATAACTTATAATATATTTTTCTTTATTTAAAATTGATTATTTTTATAAATTGTGATATTAATTATAATAGATAAACTAAAAAAATAAAACTTGAAAAAATAAAATGACACAACAAAACTTTGAAATAAAAATAATTATTAATATTGACTATTTGAGTATGGTACTTTTTAATTCAAAATAAATAAGCAGTGTTTGGTAAAGACAATATTTGGATGGATTTATTTTCAATATATTGTTATATTATTTAACTGAGCGACTAATAGCCGAATGGTTAAGTTGCCGTACCCACG